TTGACTTAGCTTAAAGCATTGGATAGTTTGTTTTTCCAATGTCTTCTTAATTGTCAGTTTTGTTTTTTTTTTTTCTGTTTCCTGAATTTCTTACTTTGGGCACTTGGTTTTCTTCCCTTGCCTATTTACTTTTACTCTCTAGGGATTTCTGTGCCTCTGGTCCCTGGAAAACCAAGGTCCTTTTATTGTAAAGCAAGGGTTACAAACTCAGTGCCCACAGAGTCAGCCAGGCTGGGTGGAGACTAGGGCCAACTGGAGAATATGTGCCCTATTTTAAAGGGCATGTGCTGTTTAGCTCCAAGTAGTAGATTCTTTGAAGGAATAAAGATCTAGTGATTTTATAGTGTCTCTTGTGATATTGGAAATGCCCATTTTTTAGAGAAGTCTCTAGATTTTAAAATACTGGTAGCTAATCCAAAGTTTTAAACACTATGTGGGCCAATCAAAACATATCTGCCAGCTGGATTTGGCCTGAGGGTTTCCAGTTTGCAACCTCTATAAGCCAATGCCAACATTCTTTCCTAATGGGTAAAGGTTGTCTCAACTATATATATCCAGCCAAAATATTTTTTCCCTGAGATTTTTAGAGTACTGAGGTGCTGCTTTTGGAAAAGTGAATTTATTAGCCTCACTGCCCAAGTAAAAAGTTGTTGGATCATAATATGCTGGCCACTCTGATTTCCTATGGATTTCTGAGAGTCAGTTTTAGAGTCTACTTATTTGTTGTGGTACCCCAGGAATTTCTTTATACCTACATGGGTAAATATTGTCCTAAGATTTGGTAAAACAAACAAACAAAAAAAGATCCTTTTTTAAGGATGAAGTCAACTTCCAAAGTTATTCTACTTATGTGCATCTGATACAGTAGAGGAAAGTCCTTTGGACTTGTAGTTAGAAGGCTGGGATTTGAGTCTTAACCCTGCAATTCACTAGTTACTTTACCTTGAGTAAATTTCTGACCCTCTCTGAGTGGGCCTCAGGTTTCTCATGGTTCCTGTTCCTGTTACTTCATCAAGCTATTGTTGGGTAGAAAACACTAAAAGTTGTAAGGTGCTTTGTAAATGTTGTATACGAATGGGTGTTTTCATTGTAATTCCTCAAGCATTTAAAAATTATCATATATTTATTAATTTTCTATTTCAAGATCTCTAGCTGAAGAACAGTCTTCTGTGGGATCCATCATATGTGCCGACTTCCTGAAACAAACCAATACACAGAAAAATACTAATACCAGAGATACAAATAAAGAAACAAAAGACCAACTCATCATTGTGAGTAAATTCAAAACAAAACTCCTCCTATACATGGCCCTCACATACAGAACATGAAGTCAGACATATTTTCTTAACATAGTTAGCAAGGTTTGTAGATATTCCAAGTTTTATAAGTGCCAGTTTTGTTGTAGTGGTAGCATTTAAAGCTAGTTAGTAAACTTTTGAACTGATATTATTGGGCAATACTAATATTTTAGTAGAATGCCTATGAATAAGTTATTTACAAGTAAGAAATACTATTGTTGATAAACAAAAGAGTTCATGGGAATAGCTATATTGAATTAGACCTGGGTTTGGCAAACTCTGGACGTGGGCCAAATCTAACCCCCTGGCCTGTGAGCTAAAAATGGTTTTTACATTTTTAGAGGTTGGGAAAAAAAGAGAGTATGTGACAAACTATGTGTGGTCTGCAAAGCCTAAAATATTTACTATCTGGCCCTTTACGGAAAAAGCTTATGAACCCCTATGCAAGGGTACTTCAGAAAGTTCATGAAAAGATTTGCATTATCTTTTAGTTCTGTTTTTCCGTGAACTTTTTGACATATCCTCATATTAGACAATTTAAACCTGATATTTTCAATGACATTAAGCAATGCTTTATGAGACAGAATGGGAGTTGTAGGTCATGACATTGAATATTCCTGACTTCCCTATATTCATGAATTTATATGTGCTTTTCCTAAACTTTTATTATATATTATATTTGTTTTTTATCAACTCTTGGGGCAAAGAATTTTAACATTCTTCAAGAATAAGGAATTTAATATTCCTAACCACCTAAGGAAAAACTACTGGATAATTAATATAGAGGTCCTTAACTTTTTGCCCTGCCTCTTTGAAATACAACTTTTTTAGGTCTTTCATTAAGAGCTTCATAAAGAAGTTTCACTTTTCATCTTACCTATAATTTTTATGATTTAATCTTATTCCTGAGAACTATGGGTCTAGTAAATAAAGCATCTCAGTTTTTTTATGCTGTCCATTCAAAGAGATAATTCTATTACTTTCATCATTTATTGTCCTCATTTCATAGGTCTCCTCATTTCGTTTCATATTGAGGGAGGGGAAGAGGTTATAGTAATTAGACTTTTGTTTAGTATTCCACTTCTACCAGCATAAAATAAAAATAAGGAGAAATTTGAATGAATGGTTATATGAACTTAATTTAGAGCCATTTGTGATATATTTGGATTGGCTTTTTTTTTTTTTTTTTTTTTTTTTAATTACAGAACGCAGGTCAGAAACATTTTGGGGCTATTGTGTGTAGGTCTTGTGGCATGATCTATACTGCTTCCAGCCCTGAAGATGAAATGCGGCATGTTCAGTATCACCACAGATTTGTCGAGGGGATCAAATATGCAGTAAGTCAGAAGATAGTTTTTCAGTTTGTTCTAACAGAACTGCTTTAAAAGAGACATTTCTTTTGATTAAATATGGAAAGAACTATATATTCATAAGTATTTCATTGTCTGCAGTTTTCTTGTCCTTAACTTTTCAGTAGTGACAGCCTCAAATTTTAACTTTTAATTATGTTGTTTCAAACTTACTATACTAATATAAGAGAAGTATTGTTCTTGGTTGAGTAAACATCCTGCATTCTTACCTCTAGCACAGCTGAACAGTCAAGATACAAAATTCAAAGACTTGGGGAGGCCCCCCCCTACTCCCGCTGTAGTTTCTTTATAGATAGCCTTAGAAAAACAGCCTTTCTACGACTTCTCCAGGCTTTTCTTTTCTGAGAGGAGGTCCCACCTCTTTATTAGGCACCTTTTTAACCCAAACACATTCTGTCATTAGCCTTACCTTTATGACTGTACCTCATACTCAAATGCATTCCTTTTTTCCTGTTTTTATTGCCATAGTTTATGCCTTTTTGATATATTTAGCCTGGTTTATTAAAATGACTTTCTTACTGGGCTCCCATAATGCTACCAGAATTACTTCTTAAAACATAGTTCTAGTATGATTCCTTCTCTTGGACCTCAGCTTCTCCTACTACCCCTCCCCCGCTTGCCCACCCTAATAATTCAGCTTTTCTTTCTCTATATTCATATGAAGGGCTCTCATTTGGCTTTATTTTGTTTATAATAGATTGTATACATGTCTTCCAATAGTGTGTCAGTCCGTTGAGGGTAGGCATCTTGTTTTAGGCATCTTTTAATTCTCTTCCCATGTTACTTTTAGTTGGATTTTATCTTTTCTTTTTTAGATCATTTATTTAACCTTTTGTCCTCTCCAGACCAAATTATTTAATGTTGGTTTTTTTTCTCTTCTGTAATTAAACTGACTTTTTTTTTCCTTTGATAGGGCTGGAAGAAAGAACGTGTAGTAGCAGAGTTTTGGGATGGGAAAATCGTCTTGGTCCTGCCACGTGATCCGAGTTATGCTATCAGAAAGGTGTGGAATGTTAATCTTTTCAATCCTTGTTCTCCCTCCACCCCCAAGAAGTCAACCTGTATTGAAATGTAAACTACCTTTGCTGATAGATAATCCACTTGGGTACATGCCTAAGGATGACTTTCATAAAAAGTAAACTTAGAAGTGCAAGACAAATGGGCCGGCCCGTGACTCACTCGGGAGAGTGCGGTGCTGATAACACCAAGGCCACGGGTTCGGATCCCATATAGGGATGGCCGGTTCGCTCACTGGCTGAGCGTGGTGCTGACAACACCAAGCCAAGGGTTAAGATCCCCTTACCGGTCATCTTTTTTTTTAAAAAAGAAGTGCAAGACAGAGGAGTGTCAGCTGGAGATTAAAGGAAGTGGATAATGCTCCACAGCTTATTTTTTACCTTTATCTTCCATTTGTAAAGATAAACTAAGCTTTTCAGTATTGAGTAATTAATGGCCCCAGCGTTTGTTTCTTATGTTGGTGTTGCCTGTGTTTCTTGGGGAATGTTCAGTCACCATGAACAATGAATAAAACTAAAGGAAATCTGTTTTGACACTTTGTACTACTTATCTCTCTGAGGTGTCTAAATTTCTTTCTGCTGAAAGTGATCTTTAAAATAGGTTCTTAAAACTATGTTTCCAAAGTAGTAGATACATACATCAATAGTGAAATAATTCTGGGAGTGTGTAAATTTAGGAAATAGAGATAAAAGAGGCTAAAATGATAGTAATCGTATATTTTGTATATATAAGTGTATATAGGTTCTATTGTGCTTTTTAAAACAAATTCACCTCTTTGGGTTTTATCATCGTTAGGTAGAAGATGTCCAAGAACTTGTTGATAATGAATTGGGCTTCCAGCAAGTTGTTCTCAGATGTCCAAACAAAACCAAAACTTTTCTCTTTATATCTGATGAAAAAAGAGTAGTTGGGTGTTTAATTGCAGAGCCCATCAAACAGGTATGGTATATGTCTTTTAAATTATTGGCATAATTTGTGAGCAGAATAAAGAGAAATTGGGAGAAGTCTCAATAAGCATTTATGATTGCTACCATTAATGACTTTTTTTCCTTCTAAAATATCCTTGATGATATGGATAATTGAACTCATTTCTATTAATTGTATTTTGCCTTACATAAGAAGGATATATAAGCCAGTCTTATGTTCATGTAGTCATTCCCATTTCTGGGCTATAAAAGATAATGATTTTAAATAAGCAGATCTATAGATTCAAATTAGTAAACATGTGGCTTGGTGAACATAAATATACTTGACAAAATAATCAATACTTAGTCCTTAATTAGAACCTAATTTAGGTACTAATTAGCAATGTTTGGGAAGACATATATTCTCAATATAGTCTCTCTTTATGTTATTAGAAGTTGGAGAGGGGGCCGGCCCAGTGGTGCACTGCTACAGTGCGCCGCTTGCGAGCGCGGCGTCGCTCCCGCCAAGGGTTCAGATCCACATACAGACCGGTTCCCGCTCACTGGCTGAGCGAGGTGCGGGTGCGACACTGAGGGTTGCGATCCCGTTGCCGGTCCCGGTCCGGTACAGGCACGACACTGAGGGTTGCGATCCGTTGCCGGACACGAAAAAAGACAAAAAGGAAAAAAAAAAAAAGAAGAAGTTGGAGAGAAAATCAACTGGTTGTATTATTGGCAGTAAAAGTGACCAATTTGGCTTTTTCTTTCTTTTTTTCTCCCCTCAGCTTTATTAAGGTATAATTGACAAATAAAAATTGCATATATTTATGGTATACTGTGTGATGTTTTGATATATGTATACATTGTAAAACGACTAAATCAACCTAACTAGTATATTCACTACCTCATTCATATACTTAACAATTTTTTGTGGTAAGAATGTTAACTACTCTGTCAGCAATTTTCAAGTACATATAATAATCTATAGTCACCATGCTGTACAATAGGTCTACAGAACTTATTCATCTTGGCTGATTGAAACTTTGTACCCTTTGGCTAACATTTCCACATTTTCTCCCATCTTCCACTTCCCAGCACCTGGCAACCACCATTCTATTCTCTGCTTCTCTGAGTTCAAGTTTTTAGATTTCATGTATAAGTGAGATCACACAGTACTTATTTGTCTCTCTGTGCCTGGCTGGTTTCACTCAGCATAATGTCCTCCAGGTTCATCTATGTTGTTGCAAATAACAGGATTTCCTTCTTTTTAAAGGATGAATACAATTCCATTGTGTATACATATCACATGTTCTTTATTCATTTAGCCATCAATAGACACTTAGGTTGATTCCATATCTTGACTGTTGTATAATGCTGCTTTGAACATGGAAGTGCAGATATCTCTTTGACATACTGATTTTATTTTCTTTGGATATATATCCAGAATTGGAATTGCTAAATTATATGGTAGTTCTATTTTTTTTTT